GAGGTTTGGGACTTTAGGTGTTCATGTTTCTTCAGAAAATTGAGTTTTTGTAGGGGGTTTGTCCATTGATTAAATTGTATATGAATTTTAAATAAATAACCTTTAAGAAAATTAGAATTGATTTCCATGTACCATGAAAATAATTTTGACATACGTTAATACAAACTTAGAATGTGATTAGGTAATTATTTATCAACAATGAAGAGTCTAAACTTTTGAATATAGAATTTATCGAAAACCTTCATTTTTTCATGGGGTTAGCCCACATATTTCGGGAAAATTTTAAAAATATGAAAATTTTTTTTTAATGCATATTTGCATCATTCAATGATATAGTATGAAGTATAAAGAGGTTTGGGACTTTAGGTGTTCATGTTTCTTCAGGAAATTGAGTTTTTGTAAGGGGTTTGTCCATTGATTAAGTGGTATATGAATTTTAAATAAATAACCTTTTAGAATATTAGAATTGATTTTCATGTACCATGAAAATAATTTTGACATACGTTAATACAAACTTAGAATGTGATTAGGTAATTATTTATCAACAATGAAGCGTCTAAACTTTTGAATATAGAATTTATCGAAAACCTTCATTTTTTCATGGGGTTAGCCCACATATTTCGGGAAAATTTTAAAAATATGAAAATTTTGTTTTAATGCATATTTGCATCATTCAGTGAAATAGTATGAAGGTTAAAGAGGTTTGGGACTTTAGGTGTTCATGTTTCTTCAGAAAATTGAGTTTTTGTAGGGGGTTTGTCCATTGATTAAATTGTATATGAATTTTAAATAAATAACCTTTAAGAAAATTAGAATTGATTTCCATGTACCNTGTCCATTGATTAAATTGTATATGAATTTTAAATAAATAACCTTTAAGAAAATTAGAATTGATTTCCATGTACCATGAAAATAATTTTGACATACGTTAATACAAACTTAGAATGTGATTAGGTAATTATTTATCAACAACGAAGAGTCTAAACTTCTGAATATAGAATTTATCGAAAAACTTGATTTTTTCATAGGGGTTAGCCCACATATTTCGGGAAAATTAAAATATATGAAAATTTTGTTTTAGTGCATATTTGCATCATTCAGTGACATAGTATGAAGGTTCAAGAGGTTTGGGACCTTAGGTGTTCATGTTTCTTCAGAAAATTGAGTTTTTTTAGAGGGTTTGTCCATTGATTAAGTGGTATATGAATTTTATATAAATAACCTTTAATAAAATTATAATTGATTTCCATGTACCATGAAAATAATTTTAACATACATATATACAAACTTAGAATGTGATTAGGTAATTATTTATCAACAATGAAGAGCCTAAACTTCTGAATATAGCATTTATCGAAAAACTTGATTTTTTCGTAGGGGTTAGCCCACATATTTCGGGAAAAAAAATAAAAAATATGAAAATTTTGTTTTAGTGCATATTTGCATCATTCAGTGACATAGTATGAAAGTTAAATAGGTTTGGGACCTTAGGTGTTCATGTTTCTTCAGAAAATTGAGTTTTTTTAGAGGGTTTGTCCATTGATTAAGTGGTATATGAATTTTAAATAAATAACCTTTAAGAAAAATAGAATTGATTTCCATGTACCATGAAAATAATTTTGACATACGTTAATACAAACTTAGAATGTGATTAGGTAATTATTTATCAACAACGAAGAGTCTAAACTTCTGAATATAGAATTTATCGAAAAACTTGATTTTTTCATAGGGGTTAGCCCACATATTTCGGGAAAATTAAAAAATATGAAAATGTTGTTTTAGTGCATATTTGCATCATTCAGTGACTTAGTATGAAGGTTCAAGAGGTTTGGAACCTTAGGTGTTCATGTTTCTTCAGAAAATTGAGTTTTTTTAGAGGGTTTGTCCATTGATTAAGTGGTATATGAATTTTATATAAATAACCTTTAATAAAATTATAATTGATGTCCATGTACCATGAAAATAATTTTAACATACATATATACAAAGTTAGAATGTGATTAGGTAATTATTTATCAACAATGAAGAGCCTAAACTTCTGAATATAGCATTTATCGAAAAACTTGATTTTTCGTAGGGGTTAGCCTACGAAAATAGAATTTATCGAAAAACTTTATTTATAAACTCAATTGTTAAATAACTTCTGAATATAAAATTTATCGGTAATTAGTTTTTCTAGGGGTACAAAAAATCGAGTTTTTCGATAAATGCTATATTCAGAAGTTTAGGCTCTTCATTGTTGATAAATAATTACCTAATCACATTCTAAGTTTGTATATATGTATGTTAAAATTATTTTCATGGTACATGGACATCAATTATAATTTTAATAAAAGTTATTTATTTAAAATTCATATACCACTTAATCAATGGACAAACCCTCTAAAAACTCAATTTTCTAGGTTAATAAACTCAATTGTTAAATAACCTAGAAAAACTAATTACCGAAAAACTTGATTTATAAACATGCTCTATGAGCATGTTTAATGGAGGTTGCTTAGAGAATTGTTTAGAAGGAGAGGGGTGCTTAATTTGAAGAGAGAGAGTGTGAAAAGTGTTTAATTAAGCATTTTCCACACTCTCTTTCTTCAAATTAAGCACCCCTCTCCTCTTAAGCAACTCTCTAAGCAACATGGATTAAACATGCTCTTATATGCCTACGGGTTACACTAATTATAGACTCTTGCGGATGCATTGCGTGTCTCTTATCCCAATACGACGCTAGTTCCGTTACTATCAAATCTAACGAAAAGTGAACTATAAGATATCGTTTGCTTTTTCTTTTAGTAAGTACTATCTGTTGACTTCCACATGAGCATGCTAAATTAAGATGTTCTAACAAAAATACATCAAAATTAGTAAGAATGTTGGCTGAAAGATTTTTTAATGCATGCATATACCCTTTTCTACTCTATCCACGGCTTTAACTCTATCCACGAGTTCGGAGGCTAACCATTTTGAGTGATTAATAGTCCTTGGAATGTGGAAACGATCCAACTACTAAACATAATAATAATATAAACGTTCTTAACTGGTCTGAAATCCAATGAAAATGTAACAGAAGATTCAGATTGGTCAATGTAGCTTTAAACAAATTGTTTATCCTTTTTTGGTCTAAAATTGTTTGTTTTGTTTGTTTCTTATCTTTTTTCAAGCAATTTCACTACCCTCTCGTCCTTTAAAAGCCCTAACCAGTCACCACCTCTTCGTTCACTCATCTCTTTATCTTTCTATCTCTGGACTACGTATATTCAAAGAGAAAAGGAAAAATGTTTATAAGGCTGATTAGCTTCTTGGTTCTTGTCGGTTTGTACGCCGGCTTTGGGACCAGTCAACCTCTTGCACCGGCTCTAATCATAATGGGAGATTCTGTCGTCGATGCCGGTAACAACAATCTTCGCCTTACCCTCGTCAAGGCCAATTTTCCTCCCTACGGACGCGACTTCTCAGCCCACAAAGCCACAGGCCGTTTCTCTAATGGAAAACTCGCCATTGACTTTACAGGTTCGAACAACCCTAAAATTATTCACATTTATAATGGTTCACAGATGCCACAAAATTTTACTGCAATTGCACTATTTTGTGAAAATATGTTCCGCAAGTCTAGTAACCAATTTCTTTTTAGTTACTTATATACTTATTTATTTAATTGTACTGCCGTTCCATCTTTATTACTTATTTTTATGATTTTTTTAATTCTTCATTTTATCATTTTCGGAGCCATAATGTCTATACTTTCATCAATTCATATATTTTATTTTATTTGTTGTTGAGCAGCTGAGAATCTAGGGTTCACTTCTTCCCCGGTAGCGTACCTTAGTCAAGATGCAGAAAATGTGACTAATTTGTTAACCGGAGCCAATTTCGCCTCTGGTGCTTCCGGTTATCACGACGGAACTTCCTTATTATACGTAATTAGCTCTTTATCCTAAACCCGGATATTAATTAGCTAACCGGGATGCTTTAACATTTTATGGTGTATCGTATATATGTTATGTTGTAGAACGCAATCAGCTTGACCCAACAAGTGGAAAACTACAAAGAGTACCAAAGCAAGGTGACGAGCATGGTAGGGAGAGACAAAGCGAACGAGATATTCAAACGTGCCATTCATCTTCTTAGCACCGGATCAAGCGATTTTATTCAAAGCTATTACATTAATCCGATCCTTAACACGATAGTCACGCCTGATCGATACTCAGATCGTCTCATGAGATTTTATTCCACCTTTATCCAAGTAACTAAAACATTCCCATATATAACGTACCAGTTTTTATTTTTCTAACGATTTACTATATATTTACCTTTTACCAATTGTCAAAAATGCGCTTTATCTTTTTGCAGAATATGTATGATTTAGGTGCTAGTAGGATTGGAGTAACGACGTTACCACCCTTGGGTTGTTTACCAGCAGCGATAACGATGTTTGGTGGTATTGGGAGCAATACGTGTGTCGAAAGACTAAACCGGGACGCGGTTTCCTTCAATACCAAACTCAACAATACGTCTGTGTACCTAGCCAACAAGCTTCCCGGTCTGAAATTGGTCGTCCTTGACATTTATAATCCTCTACTGAACATGGTCAAGAACCCTGCCGAGAATGGTATAGTATTTGGACATTCCTTTATGTATATATCGGGTTAAACTTTAACCGGTTCACCATACAATTTTTCAAGAAATATCAAAACTCTCCTGATTTTATGAAAGCCAACATTAGACTTTAGACGACTAACACTGGCATTCTTTTCCATTTTTATTCTTATTAATATATTAAATATATATATATATATATATATATATATATATTTTGAATGTAGGGTTTTTTGAATCAAGAAGGGCCTGTTGTGGAACCGGAACAGTGGAAACTTCGTTTCTGTGCAATGCATTATCTGTGGGTACATGTTCAAATGCTACCAGTTACGTGTTTTGGGACGGTTTTCATCCATCAGAAGCAGCCAACCGTGTTCTCGCAGACAATCTTCTAGGCCAAGGATTCGCTCTCATTTCCTAAACCTAAATTAAAAGATTCAAACAATTAAGATGACGTGATGAAAATATTTTATAGACTAATTAGCCTAAACAATGCTTGCCTGCTTGTTTTCTTTTAGTCATCCGCATTCAATGTATTTACCATCTCATGTAAAAAAAGTGGGATCAGTGACAAACACAATCGTGTTATAATCAACTCGCCAGAAATCCTTCATTGCTAGTCATATTATGTTTCAATACACATAGAAATGTCGATAATAAGTATGTTGCTTTGAAAGCATATATTTTTTTCTAGAAAAGCATTATCGATAAACAACATGACCAGTAGAGAGGATACCAGCAACATCATTTATGACAAAAATGAACACTTTTGGGAGCAATTATGGTTTATTAAAGATGATTTATGAAGTTAATTGTATAGCAATATTTGTTAATATTATCACCAACATTTTGGCTATAATCAATCATAATTTACTAAAACAATTTGCTAATACAAAATTTCGCATTTAAAAAATAAATCTTACTTATATTTTCTATAAATTTTACTTATATTTTACATAAATCTCACTTATATATTTTTATAATTTTTATTTATATTTTTATAAATTCTATTTCATTCGGCGTTCTCAAGAGATTAGTGATTGCAATCATAAGCTTCTAATAATTGATATGCAAGCAGGTTAACTTTGCGATTGTAAAATCGATCAACACAAGACAATTTTCAATCATCTTTTTCTTAAAGAAACAAAGAAAATCAATAATAACACAGTTAAACCATTGTGTTGGTGTTCCATACCAATTACTGCTAGTTTCAAGAACAATTTAGAGAGCAATATATTAATTCAAAACCATGGAAATAAACTTTGTCTTCACAACACTTCTTACAAAGTCGGCAAATAAGTCGAGTCATTGGAACAACACCGCTCATCACATGTGTAAAACTATTTTTTGGAATCTATTTTTCTCTTGCAAGTTTGACACCGATAGGCCATGTTGCTTGTTATTTCCTCCCCATAAGAAAGGATGAGCATATGATTATCATGTTTATACATTACCTTTTGATGTAAAACATCACATGCAAAACATCTTTGAGCCCGTTGTTTGAATTATTTATGTCTTTCTCCTATTGGAGTTGTAATTTCTTTTTACCTAGTAAAACCAGCGTTAAAACAAAAAAGAGTGTTGTACTAAACTATGCTTTCATAATCTCTGCAGAATGTTTGTTTGACAAGCATCTTTGGTCAAATATATAGCGCCCCAGCGCTCTTAAATTCATTCATGTCCACCTTAATCATCACTGCCTCCTCACTGATAGAAATATATACAAGAGTTTTTGTTGGGATCGTGTGAGAGGTTTCTATGGAAGAAAGATTTTCTAAAGCTTTATTTATACAAAATAAAAATAGTTCTGTGGAGCTTTATTATGTTTTTAGTTGTCTTCAATAAGCTAAAGTCATAGATAGGAAAGTGTTGAAGTTGCTCACTGACTCTGTAGCCTTGGTCACAAGAGGTGAAAGACAACAATCACATATATATGAAATCACTTGGAAAGAAATCCTGAACTCATGGGATATGACAAATATTGGGCTACTTAACAATGGGTTGGGCTTGTGGTTAATAACTTGTTGGGACGGGGTGGAAATAGATAAAGGAAAAGGTTTGGGGTAAACAAAAGAAATAGAGAGAAGTTTGCATGAGAGAAGTAAAGACAGAGTGGAAAGATGACACTTGGCACGAAAGAGCAACCACTTACTACCAAATGTTATTCTACAATTCACCGTTTTAAAATTCTCTTGATCTGCTGCTAAAACCGAAAGCAGAAAAGTAAATTAATTCTATAAAAAAACTTCTTTAATTTGATTATTCGTCTTCTTCTTCTTCTTCATTCTTTATCATCTTCTTCTCATAAAAGAACTGAGAGAGAGAGAGAGATGGGAGATGAAGATGTTGATGGGAAGTGTAGAATCATATCTGCATGTTCCTCAGCCAAACTCTTTCTCTTCATGGTTCCTCTTGTTCTAGTTTCTGGTTTCGTCTTTGTAAATATTGGTCCTAAAAGTTCAACATCTTTCTCAACCTCTTTGTCCACTATACATCTTTCTCCTCCGGTTCTACCCTCTTCTCCACCCCTGCCTCCGTCGCCGGCACCATCTCCTTCTCAGGCGGCGACGGAAGTGTTGTTTCCAGCATCATCTTTATCGGCTAAAGAAGATTCTGTTCAGGTTAGAGAAATTACTAAGGAATATCAAATTATTCCTTTCTTGTTTCTCCATCTTTGCATGTCGTTTCTTTTTCTTATTCTGCCTTTTTGTATCTAGCTATTTACTTTCTAATTGTTTCATTTTACGGCCAACAAATATTTTTCAAAAGATTATGTTTCAAATTACATGGTCAAATTACAGTCAACTGTTTAAAACCTATTTTGTCAACTGTAAAATTTAATTGGTTTACTGAGGATGAGGAAACCGGTCGGCAAAACCGCAAACTAATAAATGAAACAAAAAGATTATAGAAAAATGTTATATGATATGTATGCGGTCGGGTGGTCTAAAATTCGATTAATTAATAAACATCACATGTCAATTTTTAATTATTTTCTTTACATATGCATAATCATCTAAAAATAATAATATTGAAAACAGGGGGATTATAATCGGACAATTCAATTGAACCCGATCAACATTACTTTAAGGAGTAGTAACGTTACTTCTACGGCATCTTCGAAACGAATGAAGAAAAGAGTTACTAGCAATTTAGAGAAACTCGAACTCCAACTACAAAAAGCTCGACTCGCCATTAAAGCCGCGTCGATGGACGATCCCGTGGACGACCCGGACTATGTACCTCTTGGTCCGATGTATTGGAACGCCAAGGTCTTTCATCGGTAAGTAAAATAATACTACTATTCTTTTTGACATGTTTTCAATAATGATTGTTTCTTTTTAATTAATAAATCTATATTTAGTAAAATGTTTGAAGTTACAAAACATTTAGGCTCGCTTAGCGTTTTTTGAATTGAAGTAAAGGCTAACGTCTTACAAATATGAATTTTGGTTTCCGAAGTATTTATTCGAATTTAACTTAAGTCAAACGGGTTGGTCTTGGAGCTATGAATCATAATAACGCTTGGAATTGATTTAATTTGTACTATTAAATTTGAATATTACCTTCTAAATTTTTATCTTGCTGTACATTTGATTTCATTTGAAACATTTATGAGAATAGTACAGTGTCATTTGCTCCATATCATTTCATGATTGTATGTTCAATTCATATTAGTTTCAAGAAGGTTAAGCTACCTTATAGTTTCGGAAATCCTATATATGAAAATTACTAAAACTGTACATTATGACGACTAGCTAGATGTATGCAGTATGTACTAATATGCATCACACGAACGCATGTACCTTGGTGATGATATTATTACCTACCTTACATAATTTGTTTTCTTTTTACCAAATTAAAATTGCAAGAGTTTTTTTTTTTTTTCTGTCCATAATGCTCAAGACAAGCAAAGTATCACATACCTTCATTTTTTTCGTGGGACTAAACTAGTAAATTCAATAATTTTTATATTGGCCCATCTTCTATGGTCTAGCTGAAGAAGGTAACGCTTTATAAAAAAAGAAAAACTGATGTTGAGAACCATTGACGTAGACCGCACTACAAGACGGTTGAACGAGACTATTGTTGGTTTGCTTACTATAGATGATTATGTTAGAATATTATACTATGTTAAATACGTATATACATGTCCATATATTGCTTTCATGTGGCCTCTAAAGTAGATACTCGTATAATAATTTCGGCATAACGATTCCTAACCTGGCCACATCGTGCTAATACTTTTTTGAAAATCTTATTTGTATTTAAAATCCTTAGGAGCTACTTGGAGATGGAGAAACAATTCAAGATATTTGTGTACAAAGAAGGCGAACCACCGTTGTTCCATGACGGTCCATGCAAAAGCATATACTCCATGGAAGGAAACTTCATCTACGAGATGGAAAGAGATACTCGTTTCCGTACCAATAATCCTGACAAGGCCCATACCTTTTATTTACCTCTCAGTGTCGTCAAGATGGTAAGATATGTGTATCAACGCGACTCTCACGATTTTGGCCCCATCCGAAGAACCGTGAGGGATTACATCGATCTTGTTAGCGATAGATACCCGTTTTGGAACCGTAGCATTGGAGCTGACCATTTCATACTCTCTTGCCATGACTGGGTACACTAGCACGTGACGTTACTGAGTGTATACATAACATTTGGTTAGTTATTACCGTTATAATATAATCTTGGATTTTTTTTTTTGGTATAGGGTCCTGAGGCAAGCTTTTCTCATCCACATTTAGGACAAAACTCGATCCGAGCTCTATGTAATGCCAACACATCAGAGAGATTCAAACCGAGAAAAGATGTCTCCATACCAGAGATCAACCTACGGACCGGTTCCTTAAAAGGATTACTCGGTGGCCCATCACCGTCCATCCGTCCAATCCTTGCCTTCTTCGCAGGAGGTGTGCACGGACCGGTAAGGCCGGTTTTGCTCCAACATTGGGAGAACAAAGACAATGACATTAGAGTCCACAAGTATCTCCCTAAAGGAACGTCTTATTCGGACATGATGCGGAGCAGCAAGTTCTGCTTATGTCCGAGCGGCTACGAGGTAGCGAGTCCTAGGATCGTCGAGGCGCTTTATTCTGGCTGCGTTCCTGTTTTGATAAACTCCGGGTACGTTCCTCCTTTCAGCGATGTGTTGAATTGGAGATCGTTCTCGGTGATCGTCTCCGTGGAGGACATACCAAACTTGAAAAAGATCTTGACGTCGATATCTCCTAGACAGTATCTAAAGATGTACCGGAGAGTGTTGAAGGTAAGACGGCATTTTGAGGTGAACTCTCCGGCTAAGAGGTTTGATGTGTTTCATATGATTCTTCATTCGATTTGGGTAAGGAGATTGAATGTGAGGATACGTGAGGTATGAGTTAATAATGGGTTGGTTTGTAGCTTTTTGTATGTTTGGGGTGTGAAATTAGTCCTGTATTAAGTATAATTTGTCTTCATTAAATTTGTAATAAACAAATAATGCATTGTTTGTTGTTTAGAAAATAATCAAAGCATCAGTATGAAAATTCGAAACAAAAAATAAAAACAAAATGATGCATTGAAATACTGTGAGTGTTGATCAGATAATTAGGTGGAATGTTGGTGATTAATTTATTCTGTTAAATAATTAATGTAGAGTTAATAGTATTACATATTGATGAATTTTGAGCTTGGGCTCAGGTAAACTGACCCTTAATTGGGCCAAAACCAGTAACGCTAGGTCCATGTTTTCCTATTAAACAATGACAACTGAATAAATTCCTCATGGGCTTTCCTTAATGCGTTTAAATTAACCAGGAGTTGCATGCAGCCAAAAGCAAGAGAAAACACAAAGGCAAAAACAACTTTCAAATAAAAATACCGTGGGATGAATATATTGATCAGCGTGGGACACAAGAACGTTCCATTTATGTTTTAAAGATCGTACAATGAGCAAAAGCTTGTCTCTTAGTGCAACACCACTTGAAAGTACCCTGACTAGTCTAAAGCTCTCTGTCTCTAAGATCACCAGCAGCCATCACGGGTAAGGCAGCCAACAAGAGGAAGCGACAACCATTGGATTGTTGTATTGCTCAATACCGTACATTTTGGTGGTCACCACAGATGGAATCTCCGTCGTGTCTTCCCCACCGGTCACACCAGAGATCTGCTTCTTGATTAGTCCCTGGTCTCTTAGTATAGCTCTCAGCTTCTTCACCTGCGTCACAAATCAATTTGCGGGATGGGGGTTTCTCTGATGGAATCAAGAACTAAAGGATAAAATAAAAATAACGGATAGTATTTAATTAGACCGCGTTATTTAAATGAGTGCAATATAAAATACACAGACCTCTTCATGTAACATCTCCTTCTCTCTAGAAACGACTTCATACTCTTGCCTTAGCGAATCATACAGCTGCTCGAGCTGCTTTGCCTTCCAGCGTGCACGGCGGTTCTGGAACCAAACCGCTATCTGACGTGGCTGCAAACCAAGCTCTCTTGACAGCTTCAGCTTCCTGTCTGAATCTAGTTTGATCTCATCTTGAAAACTTCGTTCAAGTGAAGCTAGTTGTCCACTCGTTAGTCTCTTCTTTTTTGTTATCTCGTTGCTGTTGCTTGGTAATCGGTACGCATTACTGATGATCTTTTCTGATTCAGGTACAGAGATAACCGGTCCGGTTTGCATTTCGGTAGGCGTGTATGAATTTCCTGCTGTAACACAAACAATACTCTTTCTAATAAAAAAAAAAAGTTCCCTCAATTTTCTTATTAGAGTGAGCATAAACGAATCTCAACTTTGCAAAAGTGACGTTTTAACTTTATAGAATTCGGATCCCAAGGAAAAAGACCTTGGATCCCAATAAAGGAAAAACTTAAATGTTAATTGTCTAGACTAAATACTTAACTTCTAATCTCAGAAAGTAATGTTTATATGTACATATCCCAAGGTTTTTGGAATGATGCCTGCGTATGTTCTCAAATAATTTATATAAAACAAAAGAAAGGAACATAGAGCTTAAGATTACTAAAAACACTTGAAAGTGTGAGAAAATTAAGTTTTTAATACTTACATGGATATGTTGTGACAAAAACAAAGTTAATATACGTGGATTTAAAACCTTACCCCAATAGAACAACACCATAAAAGATATATTTATGTGCATTTGATCAAAAAGAAAAATATAGATATGTGCATATACCTGCATAAGGATCACAGTTGAAGCTATGGAGTGAGTTAGCGGAGTTGAACTCCGGCCATGGAGGCGGCATAAAAGCAACTCTCACGTTTTCTAAGTTGTTTGTCGTTGACCACTCCATTTCTTTTATTTTCTTTTTCCGTTCTTCTGAGTCTTAATATATATAAGAAGATATGAGAGACAAGTAAAAATCAAGCATGAAAGTTGTAGGATCTAATATAGTGAAGAAACTGACATAAAGAAAATTAGGGTTTTATTGGACCACAAGACAAGAGTAAGAGAGGCGTGACAAGAAGGTTCTCTTCTATACACTTTGTCTTTTGAGGGCATGCAGCGTTCAAAGCAAGATATAAATAACTGGAATATGCATCTAGAGGGAGATATAGAGATAGTGATGGAGGTGTTAAAAAAAAAAAAAAAAGAGAGATAGTGATGTGTGCGTTCTGTGAGAATTTTTCACCTAAAAGGGAGCAACCCAATAGTGCCTTTTGTTTTGGAATTTAAAGATGGAAAAGGAAAGTGTGATATAATTTTGTCTTACTTGCACATCATCAATCATCATCTCTCTAACATTAATATAGGTTGGCATATTTTGTTGTATCCAAGGAATTTTAAAATATTTTCAGGCAGCTATATTTTTCTTCTGAATTACATATTTTCTTTATATTAAGAAATGATAAACATACAAAATATTGTTCAAGATAATGTTGTTCAAATTTTTTTTATAAACATACAAAATACTGTTACAAGTTTAGAACACAAAGTGAACCAACAAAGACAGTTTGGAATATTGGAGGTCATGCGCGTGTTTTACATTAAAGAGAAGTTTGATTTTACTATAATATAAGATGTGCTCTTAATATAATTCATGAATATATAGATTTTTTCTTAGGAATAATTCTACAATCATGAGCCGTGTGTGAATGCATCAAACCTTTACTTAAGAAGATTGTATAAAGACCAATAAATGGTGAATCACAATCCGTCTGGATTAATTATATTTAACGGAGTTTCTAAACTTGGAACATTTTAACATTTACAAAAATCTACTTGTGGGCACTGGGCATTAACATCAAAACCACCGTCTCAAACTGACTGATTTTTATAGATGTGAAACATAATTAAATATAGATTACAAAAGTAACTAAATGATGGAACTTTTGAGATTTTATATATTAAATATTAGTATAAGTGCGGGTACTTATTTTTGTCAAAGTTAAGCTTGAAATATGTGAAAGAGAAAGAGTGAACAAGAGTAAATGGTCCCAATGACTCCAGAAAACTGACAATGTAATTCCCCTCTCCTTTGGTTATGCCTCCATTCTTGGTGTGTGTATATATGTATATGTATGTGCGCTTGCGCTTGCACTTGAATTACTACATTATTATGCAAAAAGTTGTCACTGGTGTCAAGTTCATAAAGACCATAACAACGTATATGTGCAGTAACATGTATAGAGTATAGGGTGAGGCCAAAAGCTAAAAATCAACACAGAGAGCTAAGTAGATCATCTATGAATAAAGAGTGTGATATGACCAATAAAAGCCAAAACAAAGAACAAGTTAATTTGAAAACTAAGTCTCATTGTCCTCATCCACTGTGTACTCCTTTTTCTCTCTTTACCCCACATTCTTTTATTAACTTGAAGTTCCACACTTTCTCTCTTCTCTCTCTCTCTCATATTCAATTGCTACTCAACAAATAGTTGATGTGTAACAGTGTAGGTGAGAGCGCTAGAGGAGAAGCGTAAGGAATCTTTTTGTATGTTAAAAGTAGATAGGGTTGAACAGATTGATGTTAAGTAACGAGTTTTAAAACCAACGGCAGTGTACAAGAGAAATGGAAGCTTTTGAGCCTAAACTCTTGAAAGAGATGAGACATCACAATTTTCTTAGTGTTTGATGTAATTTTTTTTTGAGAAATGTTAATGGATTTCGATGATTGCATTCATTGTAAAGGATCGTTTAGTAACACTACTTATCATACTTTTTTTTTCTTGATGAAATTCTACTATTTTAGTAAAGACCTTTTATAAAAATCTTTGATTTATTAGGCAGGGCCAGCTAAGATGGGGGCGTGTCCCCATATCATATTAATTAAAGGCTTAATGTTATATATATATATATATCTACTAAATTTAGTTGAAAAGAGATCTTAAAATATTTTGTGTACATAATTTGTCTTCATCACAAATTTTATAAAAATGTTGATGGTAAGAAATTTAATTTACGTTTAAATTTTATTTTTTTCTGAAAAAGACTAAATACATACTCAATAAACATATATATTAAGAGTCTAATTTTTTATATATTTTTAGAACTCAAATAATACTGTTCTATGTGTGTTTATACTCTCATATATAGTGTCTTTTTGTATTATGTATGGTTTTAGGAGAAATACAATTCACTTTTTCTCAAAATAAACTAAAATTTAGATCAATTTCTCCCATAAAAGACATTAATTGATATTTACAATTAAGAATAAAACTCCAGAGTTTCCCTATCCATGCTAATCTACTTGCTTAATTTTATGATATGATCTCCCTCCCATCCTTCCAATGTGTGTATCTAATCTATTAAAACTGAAGTACAAATTTAAATAACCCTGATTTTTCCTAAAAAATTACCATTCCATGCCATTATCATAAAACAGGGTCGTTTCAAACTTTTGCTACCCATTTTCCTAAACGAAAACATTTGTTATGCATTTAATGTTCTAATCTTAACAAAAGTTTCCTTATAAACAGATAATCAGTTAAGAAAACGATCCCGCAAATAATTACATGTAATAGTTTATAACCATATTTGAACAACCAAACTTTACATACAATAGATTTTAGATATTTAACAACACAATGTTACCTTACATTTATTCTCCATTATTGCATCCCACGTATATATCTACCAAACATAAACGTATAAGGTAAATCAAATTGGTTGTATCATATCTAAACAGAATATTCCTTAAAAAAAGACCATCAATTAATTGAAATTAATTATCATATTTCACTCTTGCCATCTAAACAAATTTGTCGATTGAATAGCATATGTAACACGCCATCTTTGTGTCATTAAGATAGTCTTTATTCATTCTGATAGTTAGTCATTTTTGTATCGGTTTGATTCTGTTAAAGGGCTCTGCTTAGGTGGTTCCTTAGTTCGCCTTCTTATGCTTGGTTGCTCAATAGAATTCATAGAAACAAAAAGGAATGTTATATCTACTTTCCTTTGATATTTTTTGTATTTTCAGATTCTATTTACACTTTGAAGATAATCTAATTTGGGATTTTGTATTGCTTTTCCCATTAATTTTCTACAGCTGCAATGGACCCAATTGCTTCACCCAGCCTGAAGAAGACGATAATCCTTTTATTAACAGACGCCTTGAACCCCAAGTTGAGTCTACTATTGAGATCGTTAGACGGGTAACCCGACATTGATTCTACTTCTTTCTGATGCATGTTTTGGATGATAAATCATATTATTGTTTCCTTCTTTAACTAGAAGCGTGAAGAAATAACCAAAAGAATTCGACTTGACAAGCCAACAGAAAACTTTTTTTTTGAACGGCTGCCAACAGAAAACTCTCAGCCATTTTGATCACCAGTATCATCACATAAACAACGGTGATATTATGGTTATGATTTGCCACTTTCTCCAAAAACCGTGTCCCTCTAAAGTCTGACCTAATTAAATATTCTTTCAATTTTATATCAGTTTGGTCTGGCGATTTATTTTCTTTTTGATGTTTCATATACAAAATAAGTAATCCATTTATACTATATACAATAACAAAATTCTAAAATTATATATTTGCACATGAAAAATATAAAATTGAAATAAAAACAAATGAAAACTTCAAATAATCAATACAAATTGTATTACTAATTATTTTATCCAAAATGCATTTAATAAGATTAAAAATCACTCTAAAATCCTTTTTAACATTTAATATATATTTTAAAATATATATTTTTCTGTCAAAAAATAAGTAACTCATTTATCCTATAAAATAATAATTTATTTAAAAACTTTAAATATTAAGGTACAAATAAATATAAAAATAACATTAAAAATAAAATAAATTAATTAATTTCTTAATGTATTACTAATCATTTATATGTGCAAAACTACATTCTATACAAAACAACATTTAATAGCTTTTACAAATTGTATAAAAAATCAATTACGATAGTAATTGAACGGCAATCTAATAATATTCATCAACAATAAACATATCCAATCTATTAAAAGGAAAGTACATTTAGTACTTAACCCTGACTTTTTCACAAAAATTACATTTTTGTGTCATTATTTTAAAAACATAGAATTTTGATTTAGATTTGTACCAACACCATCAATTCTTTAAATTTCTAAACAGTTGGTTTTCGTAGTTATTAAACCATCGGTAAACATTTTTATTCTCCTATTATTGAACCATCACTAAACCAGTTATTTTCTTATTAATAAATCATAAATCACTTATTTTCTTATTAATAAACTAACACTAAACCACTAAATTCTTGGTTCCCTATATATCGTACTTTCTAAAACACAATTTGTTGCCATATTACTAAACCATCGGTACAACAACATACTTTATAATTAGACACTAAAAAGCTGAACAAAATACATCAATCTCAAAACTCAAAGATTATGAAATTGTCAAATAGATGTTAAACATATAATAAGTTAGAACTATCATCCGCGCGGACGCGCGGGTCCAAAATCTAGTTATTATTATATATGAAAACATATAATGAAATCTTTATCATTTTAGTATATTTTAATTGAAAACTTAGTCTAAAGACTAGCGGTCCTTAATTTTTGTATATAGTAATAAATGATGTTAAAGACCAGAAGGTAGTCAATTGGGTTCATGTCAAACGATTTCGACATAAATAGTTCTCTCATATTACAGCCTTCGAAGAACAGGAGAAAATACAAAGGAATATCGTAATATAAAAAAATACGGTCCCGCAAATTAAATATTATCCGCGCAAAAAACTTTTACCAGTCTCATGCATGCATTAGAAAAGGAGAAGAAAAAAGAGAGACAGACCTAATTTCCGTTGTTATTGTTCTTTGGGACTTTTCAGAAATCATTTTATTATATTACAT